CACAGTTGATGACTTAGCTGATAACATAGCCATGATGGCTACCAACTTTAAAAGATACACCAAAAATGGTTTTTATAAGTTCTCTCCCAGATTTAAGGTCACCGACTGAAGAACCTTAGGTCAATCTAAGTCAGCTCCTCTTGACAAGTCCAATGAGGAGTGTTTTAACTGTGGTAAGAAATGTCATTTTGATGCTGAGTGGAAAAGCAAGAAGATATCCAAGCATCATCCCTCTCAACCTACAAGCCGATCCTCTTATGACAAGTACAAAGCAAAGTACATGAGAGAAAAAGCAAAGAACCAAAGCTTTCAGAGAAAAGGTAAGGGTCTCATGACTAGATTGATGAGCCGACCTCTTCCTCTAGTGATGAGAATATGGCACATCTATATCTTATGGCTAAAATATGGGAGATAGAAGACTCTGACAAGGGATCCACCTTTACTGCTACTGATGTACATTCTACCTCCAAGAAAGCCAAATATCTAGCCAAACCAAAGAAGGTAAAAAAACTTATCTTCTCTTTTTGAATATGAAAAGGTTAAATATTTTGATTCCTTATCTGTTGATCTGCTAAAAAGAAAGGTGACCTTCAACTTAAAAGTCTAACTAGTCAGTTATAGAAATGCATGAATCAACTGAAAGACTTTAATAAGTTGGAAAATGACCTGAAAGAACAAAAGTTAATTAATAATGTTCTTAACAAAGAAAGAACCAAGGTCTACCAGAAGCTTGAGAAAGAAAAAGTCATTCTTCAAAAATAGGCTAGATCATCCAAGAATTTAGATAAAATCTTACATGATCAACTTTCAAGTGAAGTAAAGACTAGTCTAGGTTATGATGATATGGATATGTGTGCTCCAGATGACTCTATGTGCATCTTTTCTCATATTCACTCTTTCTCATATTCATCTCATTTATCTAATTCTGTCGGATCTTTTTCTCCTAGATCTCATGATAATGGTGAACCTCTCAAATTCGAAGTCGTTGTCAAAGCGAAAAATCCAAACTCTGAATCTGATAGTGTTCCTGTTGACTGTGTGTTCAACTCTCTTTCTCTACTGGAACTCCATGATACATGCTCATCTAGACCTAAAACACCTGAGCATTTAAAGCAACCCATGAATTATTGTTTTACCGCTACTTAAAAAGGCAAGTCTGTGGACCAGCCTATCAAAGTACAAAAATCGGATGTTCATAAAAACTGCAAGTCAACTGACGAGCCTATCAAGAACAAAAGAACAACATCCAAACTGAAGATGAAACATAAGCCTTCGGCTACCTCATCTCAATTAGTTGTTGCTTCTCAGTCGGCTACCTCAGTGACATCTATTACTAAGTTCATTAGCTGACCAATATCCTTGAAAAGGATTCCCAAGGTTTCTACTTCTTCTTAGAAACCAATTCTTGATTTTGAAAAAGGGATTCATGGTCCAAAACCCTCTTCATCCTCAATCTCTTATTCAAAAGTTTCTTCCTCTTTTAAAAGATCTAAAAAGCATGTTAACATAGTTAAGCACACACCATTGATATCGATTAAACCTATGTTCATTTATCATAAATGTTATAACTATGGTGACACTTTTCATCTGGCTAAGAACTGTCCTAAGGAAAGAATCACTAAGCCAGTAAGAAAAATGAAAGAAGAAAAGTCTCCTAACCCCAGTGGACCCATTGTAAAATGGGTACCTAAAAACTGATTTATCTATGTTTGCAGGGCTTAAGACACAGACTGGTATGATACTTGGATAGTGGATGTTCAAGACACATAACTCGAAACAAGTCCCTGCTGATCAACTATGTGTCTGAACCTCGTCCTTTTGTAACCTTTGGAGATAATGCTAGAGGTATTACTAAAGAATATGGTGTACTCTTTAATGGCTCGGTTACCTTCAACTGAGTAACCTATGCGGATGGACTGAAGCACAATATGTTTAGTATTAGTCAACTATGTGATCTTAGCTTCATTGTAAAATTTGAAGAAAACCAGTGTACTATTCTTGAATTCTCTGGTAAGAAGGTACTAATTGGTATCCGAAAATAAAATGACTATGCCTTCGACATGGAATCTCCTAGCACTACTGACGCCAACATCTGTTTCTACTCCGAGGCTACTGCTGATCAAAATTGGCTATGACATAAAAGGTTGTCTCATCTCAACTTCAAGACCATCAACAATATTTCTAGCAAAGATCTGGTTATTGAACTTCCTAAAATGTCATATGTCAAAGAGAATTTGTGTGCTACTTGTGAAAAAGGCAAGCAAACCAAAGCAAGTTTCAAGTCCAAGATGTGCTCTTCTATTTCTGCTCTTTTGCACATGCTTCACATGGATCTCTGTGGTCTTGTGAGCGTTCAAAGTTTAGGTGAGTCAAAAGAGTGATGGTGCACTATTGTTGCCTCGTTAAAACCTTATGTCAAAAAAAACCGTGAGAAAAAAAATTAAAAATAGGACGAAGGAAAGAATACAACGTACCCGTTTATAGACTATTCTTTTAGTCTAGTATTCCCTCATATTGGTACATCAAACATAAGAATTAAGAAAAACAAGATGATATTTGAATTGTTGCCTCGCTAATACCTTACACTAAGAAACAAAACCCAATGGGAAAAATAAAACGTTGGGTGAAGGAAAGAGCACAACATACCAATATCATATGTATGGTAGACTCCCCCTTTTGTCTACCACTCCCCCTGATTCGTATATTAACCAAGCGAGTTTGGAAAGTCTTCGCATTCCAATGTTTTCCACATGTGGCCTTAGGCAGTGATTTGGTAAAGAAATCAACCACATTCTCCTCAGATCTTACTTGATTCACTTGAATCTTAAAGATAGTCCGTTGTTGCTGACTATAAAAAAACTTCGGCGAAATATGTTTTCTATTATCACCCTTGATATATCTCACTTTCATTTGTTCGATACAAGTTGCATTATCTTCATATATGCATGTAGGATTTTGAGTGGTTGAATTTAAACCACTAGCTCATCTTATATATGTAATAACAGACCTTAGCCATATACATTTTCGACCCGATTAACTTTTTACTTAAAAATATATAGTTTATTAAATCAAAAAAAAAAAAAAATACCAAAAAAAATCAAAAAGACTAAAACACCCTTAAGTTAATGGAGGAATTTTAAAATATTTAGTCTCGGGAACAAAAACAATAATAAATTACAGACGAAAATCATAATTTCAAAATTATAGAGATGAAAATCATAATCTTTCTCAAATCAGAGGGACCAAATCGTAGTTTACTCCTACCTTTGTTTTGTTTATGTACCATTTTTCGACACAAAACTCTACCGTACAAAAAATGTTGTATAAAAGCACCTAATGTCATTGCTCCCTCTTGCCACCCATTGTCGTCTGCTCTCTATAACCAACTAACCACCTATCATAGTTGTTGGCCCCCATACCACTAATCCTCCTCTTTTTGACTAGTTTTCCCCTTCTTTTTTATCTTTCGGTAGGTACATTAAATTGTTGTATAAAAGTGATAACCGGAAGACAAAAGGAATATAAAAGAGGGTGATCGATGACATGGGTCAACGACAACGATAGACGGTATGAAGAACAGATGATAATAGAGTGATGAGGGACAGAAATGTGATTGAATGAGAGAGGTTTGAATGATGTAGGGATTGACATGGTAAAATTGATTAAGTTTTTTTCAATTTAATAATCAAACTAAAAAAGTTAGATAGCATTTTTAACTTTTCTGTTACTACTTTTACATGTTGTACTTTTGTCCTTACACTAATTTTTTACTACCTTTCTCCTAATTATTTATTAAACGCACAATAACATATTACAAAAACAATTCTAGAATTTTAGGATTCGTTGATTTGTATATATCAGAAGGATACTTGCATAATGCAACAAGATATATCTTGATTTTAATATTTTATTTTATTTATTTTCTATGTCGATATAATACAGTTTTACATGGTTTTAAAAAACGATAATATTTAAATTTTAGTATTAAATTAACAATTTAAAAGTTTTCATTTTCTGTGTGATTTCTTTAATTTAATTTTTTTATTATGATTTAATTTATATTTAATATTAAAGTAATTTATTTTTATTTAATAATATAACTTTTATAAGGATGATAATTAAGTATTCTGTTAAAATTCAATGATTATTCTAATTATATTTTAATTTTTTATATTTAAAATGAGATATTTATCATTTATTTATTTATATTTATCTGCAGTTAGTTATACGAATTAAAAAATAAAGCTTTAATATATTGTACTTATGCACTTGTAATATTGAATTTTAATTAGTAATATGCATAAAATATTATTTTTAAGAGTTTTTATCAAATGATTTATAACATAATATGTATAAATATATATGTGTGTGCGCACGCACTCGTGTACTTTTCTCGACCTCTTTCCGCAACCAATTGTCTTTTGTTGTTTTTGTAGATTTTAGATGTGTCATCATTTTATTTATTTATTGGCAAAGGGGATGGAAAAAGTTGTATAAATGTACAACTATTTAGAGGGTTTTCCAATAATTTTTTAAAAATTAAGAAAACAAAAGTTATATTCAATTTAAATAGATTATTTATTTTAAAGATTTTAACATTAATTATATTATTAAAATATTTTATAAATTTATTATCTCAATTCAATTTAAAAAATATTTTAACCGATCTGATTGATGAAAAATAGTTAAAAAAAATCATTTATCTCCTCTAAACATTAAGTTTTAGATAATTCTCTAGATTCAAAGTTTTCTAGGTTTTTAATCTTAATTTTTGGTAATACCGAACATGCCTTAATGGATGGGCATTAAAATCTTCATCCATTAATCATGATGTAATCTGTGAGAAAAAGAATTGCGAAAGGTTTTAAGGTTTCAATATGATATAAATAGTTCAGTAATATATCAATCTTGTCTCGTTATATTCTCTTTCTAAAGGTAAAGTAAACTTGAATTAATGAACTCCCAAAGAGCAAGCATCGTTCAAACAAAGAGAAATAAAAGACGGTAAAGCACGATACATAACAAGACAAGAAATTAGTCGGGACAATTGAGCAAGAACGTGAGCCACCCATTCGCTTGTCTCCTAATTGCCTTAACCGAGAAGACCAAGAGTGATAATGATACGAGAAAATACGAATAAATACAAAATCACTACAAGAAAGTAGACACATTGCAATAACATGTTACATTGACAACATTAGCTTTCTAAGGTACACTTTACCAATTTCCCCCACTACTTTCATTCCATTCCTGTTGGTTAACATCAACAAATGGAATGCTCATATTTCCGACTCTTGTTCCGGCTTTTTTGGGGTTATTCAACTAAGAATTGTGGATTTTACGTACGAAATTCTTCAGAAACAACAATGGAAAGAAGAACTAGAGGCTACCATGCAAGAAATGACTCTAACTGTATTGTAGTATATGGAAACTAGATTGATTTTCTTCTTGTCTTGAGAAAGAGAATACTCAAATTACAGAGTCTCGGAAGACAAGTCTTTAAACTTCTGCATCTGTTACGACAAGATAAATGAATCGTGTGTTATTTTGATTGTTAGATAAGCAAATTAAAGGTTGGTGGGATCTGCTGTACCTGCTGTTTTCTGATTGAACTTGCATGCAGATTAGAGAGGTATTCTTCAACAACCCTTATCCACCTGTAAAACAGAAAAAGGGTCACATTTTCTACAAGATAGATGTATTCACCATATATCGGAATATGAACACAATGTAAAGAAACGAACCACAAGTCTTTTCCCGACGTTCCTTCAAAAAATGCAATGTGCCCTCCATGTTTTGTGGTAGCAAGAACAATATTTTTATTTTTCCTGTTAAAAAATTACACCAAATCAGTACGAAGATATTATTTAACGTGCAACTATTTGATAAGCCTGAGGAATGAAGACCCTTGTTCTTTGTTTTGTCTGTTATTTTTCGCTTTCATTCAATTTTTCAGTGCAAGTGCGCTTGTTCATATATAAGTGTAAACAATATGGTGGTTGTAATGTTTGAGATTGAGAATAAGGAAAAATGTAATTGTGCTTACCGACACTCATCCCAAGGAATGGCTTCATCGGTGCAGACGGGATCATCTATGGCATTAAGACAGAGAAGAGGCACCGAGACATTGGTAACCAGACGGGCACTGCTAGCCCATCTATGAAATGCATCAATTGACTGGAGGAACAATACAGTATCATTTATCAATGAGTACAAAAAATGAATACACTAGAGACGTTTAGCAGAATATATTATAGATAAGAGAGGGGAGGGATGTTACATCAAAATTTCCAGCAATTCTAGCAGAGTAATTGTTGAAGTCTCGAATTGTACGTGACTGCAAGGAGATGTCAGGTTATTGGTTAATACAAAGCCAGCATTTTCATGACACACACACACACCCCCGTATATATGTGTATATGCATATTTGTATACAGAGAGAGAGTCCCCCTCTTTTACAAACCCAATAAATCATACAAACTCATTGACCCAGTTTTGATGTTTTGTTGTGTGAAAATGCAATGTTTATACAATGTTGTTTCATATGTGAAACTTTCAGGACTGTTTTTTCCACATAGATCTTCAATTTATTTTCTAATATTTTTCTCAAAATATAGATGGCAGGTGTGTAAAAATAAAAAACATGTATTACCTTTTCAATTCCTTCCCAATCCGAAAGTCGAGCATATACTTCCTGGTGCCTACAAGAAACTCAAAATCGATAACTTAAAGAGGTAAACTACTATATCCAGACAGAGGATAGATTAAGATCATATACACCAAGTTCAAAGTTGAGAATCTGAATGGAAAGGTGATGAAGAGAGAATGCATACAACTTGGCAGCGCCTTTCAAGGAATTCCCTAAAACTCTATTATAAAACCTCTGCATAATCGCACGAGTGAAGAATCTGTCACCAATCTGCAAAAAGCAAGAGGTAAGTAATGCAGGATGGGCCAAGAATAATGCAGACTTAGGGGAAGTAGGAACAAATGGCAGGGAAACGTCTATTATTATCATGTGTAATCGTTGTGCGTAGGATTGTCATTTTTTCCTCAAAGTATATAATTACAGGTCAGATAATTCTTTGAACAGGTCAGATGAAATTCATTAAAACACTAACCAAAAGGTCCCAAGGATTACTGATAGATGCAGCCCCAACAAGAGGTACATTAACCCCTTCCTCCCCAAGATATTTTACCTGCAAGATCAATTGTCATAGGTACAGAGGAAAATGGTTTAATTCAGACAAATACAGAGAAAAATGGATATAAAAGGTTGTACCAAGATATTGGCACCAAGGCTAGTTCCAACAGCATAAATAGGAGTTTCGGGTTGGGTGCGATGAAGATGATTCACTACTTCACCTAAATCATCAGACTTTCCTGCAGTGTAGAAGCACTCGGACTGCACAAGCAAACAACAAAGTTCAAACTTTAATATGATATTACTTTCCAGTGTCACTAGGCGAATCCCGATGGAATCGATTATTCACCCAAGTTTAAATTTTAATCAGGACATGAACTTTAAAAAGTGACCTGATAGAGTAAAAACTTACAGTGAGTGGAACGCCTCCTAGCCCACGATGATTGCATACAACAACATTCCATCCGTGTTTTGCCATCGCATATGCAATCTTCCTAATATACTGCCATACATATCATGCAAAGTACACAACATGGAAACAAAAAAGCATCAATATCCACAACATGATAGAAACACGTCAGAAATAAGAAAGAATACCTAAGGAAGACCTTTGCTTCCTTATAGCCATTATGCACATCTCATATACAGTGTACCAGTAGCATACCCGACTTTTCTTTAAGTATATAATATTTATATACGGAAATTGCAACCAATAAACTCACACATCCTCCTCAACTTTGGAGAGGTCTGAACCCCTGACCTCAAGGAAATTATTGAAGAATTCCTTAATAAGATAAAGAAACTCACAGGGGATTTAGAATCACTTGTTAAGCCAGGAACAACTATCACAAGAGGAATATCAGCAACTGTATTTGTTCCATTGATTTGAAAGCTTGTCTCCAAAACTAGGCAGTCAAACAGAACAATTTTAGATAAATCACAAAATGCTTTTAGATAATATCCATGTCAGTTCTTTTAAATGATTGCTTAAGAAAATTAGTAGCATGATCACTAAAAGAAGTTTTTAACTTGTCATATTAATGTGAAGATTTTACAGGATTAACTTTAGAAAACTAAGGGTCTTTACCATCAGAGTTCATCAGCCAATCCAACGCTACTGTTCCACCATCCGAAGTGCGAAATATCTCTCTGGAAATAGAAAAACATCAGTATAATTTGGTCGAATAGTTTGTTATTTGGCATATGTGTCAATTCATGAACTGGATAGAGATCCATTGTACTAATTTCATGAATCCAATCGTCATACTAAAAGACTTCATATAACATCTATAAATATAAAAGACAAAGAGCATTCTAGCCATGTAGAAAACAAGACATCCCTATACTGACAAAAAAAAGTGTAGTCTTATCCCATTAATCGCTCATTACAAACTTCACCAAATACGCATAAAAAGACCTTTGAATTCATGTGGCTGCTAACAAGTTTTGAAACAGTAAACTACACACAAAAATCCACTAAGAGAACACAAAGTAAGTTAAGAAACCTGGTTTTATAATCATATAATATGAATCATGTTGATGATTTAAGGGCTATTCACCAACAAATATAATTTCTGTGTGCTAATGAGATTCAGATCGTTTACTTTGTCACTCAAATTTAACCATCACTATCAGATTGCTCCACCATATGATTTAACAATATTAACATCAAAATTCCATTGATTTACGTTGCTTTGCTAAATGTGACTTTATGAATACCAAAATTCAAACTATAAGAGGATGAATGGATGCTTTTTACCTTTTGTAGCTGAAGCTCGGAGTCTTTACTAAAACATTCAGTAAGATAGTCTGAAGATGGGGACTAGAAAGCCATGCAGTGGCGACGTATCTAGATCAATCAATGGTGGAAATGTTAAGAATCAGTCATAAAAACTCTAAACAGTCTTAAAGAATAAGAAAAAGAGTTAACCTTCCATAAAGCAAATGACATTTGGATATGACTTCTCTGTACAAATCGGAGGATGAATTGAAGGTGAGAGACACATGACCACCTCCAAACCCACTGATAATGTCCTGTAGAATATGAATCTCGAGTAGATTGTATACGAAAACAATCAAAGCAAAAAACGCAAGTAAGAGGTAGTGAGAGATAGGTATGAGAGTTAGGGCTCTGAGCAAAAGCTTGTAAGGTGAAACAAAGTCTCCGGCGGCAGTCTCCATTCTCCGATCGTCGGTTGGTTGATCGGAGCACCACCAAGAGTCGTCTGAAGAAGGAGGTAAATAAGGAGGGAAACAGGGCAAGGCAAGTCAATTAGTCAATAAATGTGAACCAGTTGCCCATTTTGACTTCAGCAAAGGCTTATGTGGTGCACGAGGGATTAAATTTAGATAATAATAATATTATATTATATTCTTTTTATCTAATCGAAAATAAATAAAAATTAATTTAATTTCTTGTTTTGTATTTTACAATCAAATCAATTGTAATGATTATATCTTACGATATTTTATAAACCAGATTTATCAAAAGTCTTAAAAATAATTTTTAATGCATAAATTATTATACATTTATGCAGAAAGTCTTAAAAACAACTCATAATGCATTAATTACTATTACTTTATGCATTTAGTCTTAAAATCTTTTAATCTACAATTAAAATAGCATATAGTGCAAGTTACCAATGCGTATTATTATCTTTTTTTTCATGTTCTCAAAATACTTTTTACACCATTCACTCATGCCTTCACCCTCTATGTCTTCTCCTCATCCCCTGAGGTGAGATTCAAACTGATATTCATTAGTTATTAAAAGTTCTCTCATTCAATTGCTCTAGAACTCTCGGTCTCGGTCTCGATCTCGATCTCTTGATTCTTTGCTCTTGATGTAAATCGAACACATTTGTGGAGTCGTTTAAATATATTGGATTTTAAATATATTGGAAATTAAACTGTCATACAATTTTTTTCATCGATAGACTGTAATTGGAACTATAACTCTTATTTATTCAAATTGTATTGATATGTAAAGACCAAGTGTAACTTATATATTCGTTAAATATTTTCTAATAAAATCAATGAAACTTCAAAATCGTTAAAATTTACGGCTCCCGCCGCATTGCGCGGGTACACAACTAGTATCTTACGAAGTATCTTGGGAGAAGGGAAGATATGGTAAGAAATGTAAGAATATATTTTTATCTTTGATCACTTTTTATTTTACGTCTATCTGTTAATTGTGTTTTAGAAGAGAATTGATCTAGTGCATCGTGATGTACCTAATTAGTGTTGACATTCAATTAGAATTAAAAAAAGGTTGAAGATCTTTTCTTATACTTCTCACTGGAATCAACCGTATATCTTTATAACATAATTTAATGCATATTGTTATTAGAGGACAAATTAAATAAAAACAATAGAAATGTTAAAAATCATATAAATCAATCTCAACTGTTCTTTTAATCTAACAAATATTTGATTTCATAAATATATAGATTATTTTTTAATATAAGGTATTGATCATAATTAATAAACTCTAATAATCTTTCATAAATATTTAAAATATGATAAATAAACCTTCTATGCAACTTCATCAATATATTAAAAAGTGGATTAAAATAATAAAACATTTTTTATATATAATGAATGCTAAAAAATTTAAAATAAAATCTGTTAAGAATTTATTATAACTATTATAGATATTTTATTTTTTTAAAATTATAAAAAATGTTGGTGATATTTTATATCTTCATGAGGTGTAAACAATGAAAAAAAAGACTAAGGGACTGTTTACAAAATGCTTATTCGGATAAATAAATATCAAGTTACATTACTTTACCGGATGAATATGATAAGGACCAAGAAGCTTATCCGATAAGAACGACACAAGGACCAAGAGTCTTATCCATTAAGTAAAAATAACGAAATTTACCATGGTAAGCGCTTACCGAATAAATTGTTGCAATATGATACCGTTCTGATGAACTAAAATCTTACCCAATAAATAAATAATAATGTAAAATTTTACCGATAAACACTAACCATGTAAATGTTTGATGAACGTCCCTAAACCTAACTAATAAGCTCTTTATGTGAACCGACTTATATATGCCAAAGTTACATAAGCAGTCCTTCAAGAAATAACTCCAACCTTATGGTTCCCTTCATCAATCTTTCTATCTACAATCGCAATCCTCCAACATTTCTTGTAAACCGCATTCAGTCCTTGAACATTATAAACATGAAATAAACAAACTTAAAGTGTCAAGATTGCAAATTATAAGATTGGGTTTTAACGCCCTCCTTCAATCTTAACACTTCAACAAATCAAGTATTCTTTCGGTTTTACGTTCTTATACTTGTGTTAAAAACTGTTTGAACTCACTAGACTTTAAATCTAACACATTTTCTTATAAACTTAGAAGTTTGAGTATATGAATAAATACAAATGTCATATTTGACAAATATAAATTAACCCATTTTTTTTGAATTTATTGGAGTAGATCTATTTGAATGGGTAAAAAGTAGATTATAAGCTAACTTATTGAAACATCACTTGTACATCTTGTACAAGAGTTTACTTTCAATTATACCACTGATTAATATTAATTTTTATCTATTATTATTAATTATTAGTAAATATTAACAATAAAATATTAATAATCAATTGATATTAGTTATAAGTTATTGATTAGTATTAGTTATAAGTTATTAAATAATATTAACCATAATTATTAATTAATATATGTTATTAATTGTTAATAACATTAATTTCACAATATTAATTAATTTTTTTTACTGTAACCTATTTAATAATATTAATTATTAAGTATTTAGAATTATTATGAGTTTTATCAATTATATTTTTTTTAAACGAATCTTATCAATTATTTTTATATCATTATTATTACTTTTATCATTGTTCAATATATGTAGTGGTGTACAAAGATTTAAGAGAGTCTTTGATAATCACGTAGAGGTACGGATTTTGCATGCTTTTAGCTAAGATTCAAATATTAGTCGAGATTTACACTACAAAAAGATTTGAATATAAATCTTCAAACTAATGGAAATACATTTTTTTTTTCACTTAGCTAATTTGGCAAGCTTAAAATTTATGACAAAGTGAACTTTGTGGACAATCCGTGGGTACAGTATATGAAAATATACTTTAAAAAAATCGAGGTTTTTATAGAAGTCCCATGAGTTTCTGACCATCTTGTTCCTATAATCGTCTTAAGGAAACTTACACTCATACCCATCTTTTAATTTGAAAAGGTTTATCTCGTCTTTTTAAAGCGTTTATATCAACGAAAACTTGATTATTACTCACAACCAAAATGTGCTCAAGAAGTTCATGTAATTCTTTGATTCCTAGTAGTCCAATCCCATTGGAAACGATCTTGGTACTATATCACTTTATTAGTTGTAGTGATCGTAGTGTCGGTGTGCACTGCATCACTACTGTGGGGACTTTGTGCACACTGTATGAATACTTGCGATTTTCAATTTCAATCGGAGGATCTCAGTGTACCTAATTTTAATAATCTAATGTGTACCTCATTCAATTTCAATCTAGTCTGGTTCGTGGTTTGAACATTTTTTTGAGCGGTCTAGATCTACCTAACCGTCAAAAGATGAACATATATTAATTATATCTAGTTTTCATGTTATAGGCTCAACTTTATGGACGAAATAAAAAAAGTTCTACCAAGACGTTATGTTTTCAGTTTTCGTTTCTCAATTGACTGTATAATCTAAATCGGCAATTCCGAATTCCGTCAAAAGTCAAATCCAAAATTCAAAATTGTCATTCGACTTGGTTTTGTCCAGAAAAAATTCAACTGTTGTTAGTGGATTTGTTTAACCTCTTTTCAACTTATTCAATGTTTTTTAGTTATAAACATAAATGTACTTTTTATAAATCGATATCCCATTTTTTAAATAATTTCATTTTGAATATAGATTTTATGTTTCTTTTGAGTTTAAATTTCATAAGAGACACAAACCACCTAAATTGGTCAGACTAGACCGTCTTTTTGTGGTCCGGTTTGACCGATTTAGTGGTTTGCTACCAAACCGCTCAGTCTGAATAATTTCTTGAACCACCATCACGGTTTAGTCTGTAGTTTGAAGAGTTAAACCATCCAAACCAGATCGCAGAATACCCTAGTTTAACTTATACCCCGTTACCTAACTAATGGACAGAAATACCACAAGTTGCAGGGTTGACTATCTTTTAAATTTTCAACCTAAGACACTTTATAATAAAAGAGCGTATCTTTTTTATGATTTTTCTAAAACAAAAAGTTCATTTTCAATAGATATTATAATTTTAAAGATTTTAACATAAATTATATTATTATAATATTTTCTAATTTATTATTTTAATATATTTTTTAGATAAATTATAAATCAAAATAACTCAATCTCATTAATGGACTTGAATAAAACAATCATTTATGTCTTTTGATGATAAAGAGTAAAAGTTTACACTGAGTGGAACGCCTCCTGGCCCACGATGTTGCCTACAACAACATTCCATCCATGTGCCATACCCATACATATCAATATGCATATGCATGGAGGGCAGGGGTGGGTCGGGGACCTAGGGGGAGGTGGGGTGTATGGGGCTGCCCCCAACCCCCCTCCCCAAGATAGAGATTCTAAATCTTTTAAGAGATTTCATTTCAATTTCTATCAATTAAATGCATGGTCAAATTCCTTTAAATCCTATTCCAATTCCTTCAAATTCAATTTCCTTTGATGGATTCCAATTCCAGCAAATTCCATTATTCGAACCAAATGCCGACTAAATATTTTAGGAATCATGAATATAAAATACCCTTATTATTTAAGTCACTTAACAAAAAAATCTAACAGAGTTAGGGCATTGGACCAAAAGCGTTATAAACTACAAACCACATGATTATGATCTATAGTTATTTCAAATTTTAGATTTGATACATTATAAAATTGGAAAAAAACTGATTTGGTATTGAATTTGTTATGTTATTGTTGAAGTTTTAAAATTGAAAAAAGACTGATGGGTTATTCTTTTAATTTTTAAAGATGCAGAAAGATTGATCATTTACTCTATGAATATTTTAGGAAAAAGTTAAAAAAAAAACCCAACGAACTATCTCATTTTGAATGATTAAGTCCTTGAACTAATTTTTCTAGTGAAAAAACCATTAAACTTTCTCATTTTGAATGATTAAGTCCCTAAATTATTATTTTTGAATGAAAAATCATTAAAAT